AAGAGTTGAAAGCACTGGAGGAACGCAACACCTGGAAGGTTGTTCCTATCGGCGTAGCACGAAACAAGACAATTCTCACCGGAAAGTGGGTCTTCCGCGTGAAGACAAGGGCTGACGGCACCATTGACAAGTTCAAGGCACGTTGGGTTGTGCGCAGCTTCGACCAGGAACATGGACGTGATTTCACCGAGGCATTCGCTCCAGTCGACCGACACACCTCGCTGCGAATTCTCCTCGCGATCGCCGCCATGAAGAAAAGGAAACTGCGGCAAAGTGACGTCGCCAACGCATTCCTCTATGCACCCGTGGATGCAGAAATCTTCATCGAGCTACCGCACGGCTCCAACGTAGAGCCTAATCATGTCTGTCAGCTGCTGAAGTCGCTCTACGGCATCAAACAAGCCCCGAGGCTTGGCAGCAGTACCTGCACGCAAGACTCACTCGCATCGGATTCCGCCAGCTACCTCACGACCAAGGCATGTACCGGCTCACAAACGGAACCGACTATATCCTGCTAATCGTCTATGTAGACGATTTGCTCTATATCACCTCAACTAACAGCGTCACTACCTGGTTCGAAGGGGAGTTACGAAGGGATCTCACACTCTCGGTCTCGTCCACCGTCACACAGTACCTCGGCCTTAACATCCAGGAAGAAGAGGATGCGATCTACCTCAGCGCCGCGAAATACGCCGACACCATCACCAAGCGCTTCGCACTCACACCGACCGTCATCTCCACGCCATACCGCTACACGGCACGAAACCACAAGGAAGGCTCCGCTCTACTCAAGCCCGCCGGCATACGCGACTACCAGAGGAAGCTAGGATGCCTCCTCTTCGTAGCTGTCACCTGCCGCCCGGACCTAACGTACTCTACAAGTCAGCTCGCCACCTACCTCAAGAAACCTGAAGCGGAACATCTGGCGGAGCTCGATCGCGCTCTTCACTACCTCGTCAGCACTCCGACAATTGGCCTGACCTACCATAAAAACACGGCTATAGCGCATAAACTAATCGGCTACGTCGACGCCGATCACGTCGGCGACTCCGACAACAGGCGCTCCCGCACCGGCTACATCTACCGCTTGGAGCCTATCGGTCCTATCCCCGGGCAGTCGAGCAAACAGGAATTAATTGCCCTCTCTTCAGCTGAAGCAGAATATATTGCACTCTGCTCAGCCACCAAGGAAGGACTGTACCTTCGCGAACTCCTGGAGGAAGCCAAGCTAGCCCAGTTACCAAACTTTACACTGTTCTGCGACAACCAGTCGGCCATTCGCATAGCCAACAAGAACGGCTTCGCGAACAGGACGAAACACATCGCCCAGCGATACTTCTTTGTGAAAGACGAGATCGAGAAGGGAAGACTCGAGCTGTCATACTGCCCCACATCCGAGATGGCAGCTGACTACTTGACCAAGAAGCTTGGAAAGCAGAAGTTCGAGTACTGCATGCTGCTAACTGGACAGAGACACGTCACCAGCAGCGACACTCCAGAAGCGAAGGGGAGTATTGGAAACAACTAACTTAAGCGCCTCTGTCATGTCGAAACACCAAGACACAAGCGAAGCAAAACACTATCGAAGCACCAGCGAGTCAACCCTTGGAGGTTGAATGAAGCAACTGTCGGAGGTTACGCGAAAGTCAAAGGTCAGCGACCTTTGACCTGACAAGTACAGCGCGACAGCAAGGACACACAACTAACTCGTTACAGAGCAGTTGTCCAAGTCGTCACTGTATCGAACCGCAACAGCAACAGTAAAGTAGTTACAACTGTGTCCTTTCATTTTCCCTGTATTGATATATAATCTTGTATCGCTTTGCTTTAATTAATCAACTTTGCCCTCACGTACTAGCGCAAGGTGGTTCACAACTCTTCATTAAAACGCTTCGGCTACTACACCAGTTATACCCAGAGTTCACCCCTACAAAGATCCTAAGGGCTATTTCTCAGCCCAACACCAACATCCTCGGTCTCCTCCTTTATCCTCAACCCCTTGACTCTTTCTTCCTTAAAGAGACGCTGCGAGTGAGGTAGCGCCATGTCGCTAGCGCAATGGTGTGCGGTGAGCCAATCAGTCACATTTGTGCTAAGATGAATCTAATAACAAGCGCAGGAAAATATTTCCAATTTACAAGAAAGATTGCATTTGGAACAAGGTTGTGTGGGTTGAAATAATCGAGGCTATAGAACAAGGCAGCTTGAACTTATACTAGGTAGGTGGAGTGTATAGTACCGAAATGCAATATGGGAAGCGATGCCCAGATCAGCGCGGATTACCGCATGCCAGACAATTATTGGGTCACCATTCGATTCTTCACTTCCACGACACGGGAACTTCTGGTAACTGCGTTTTCGTCCCTCAAGTTACTTCTCGCCTGCAGGCGGTCCAGGAATATCGCTTCGTAAACCTCTTCGTTCGAACCACACAGACGCGGCGCGTAAGCATACGAGTGAAACGCGGGGGTCTCAACTCAAGGCAACATGTCCACCCGCTGTCGCCAACAATAATTTTGTTGCCATGAACAAACAGGATGGAATCTGGGTTGCTCGGTGGTTGCTGCTTTGACGCGACCGATATTTCCTTTCTTCGAGCATCCCTGAACTGCCTTCAGACATTTCTGACACCTTCACAGCGGCCTTGCTTCCACTGCCGTGTTTCTTTGGCTTGCTTCACCTTGGTATTCCCGACCAACTGACAGACGTCCATCTTGATCCTGTCCTTCGTGACTCGCTGCGCGTTTTGCCGCCTTATCTGTGCATCGAAACACTCCCGCCTTATCTTTCCGAGTTCCGTGCCAGCAGTTGCTCGTTCCTTGCCAGTTTTCAAGCAGTTCTAATAACAGTCGAGCTCGGCACCGTATAATAGTAATGAGGGCGAGATACTAGGCTCTATTCGCTTATCCTGCTAGTGCAGTTCGATTTCTTCCTAAGTTCGCTAATCACATAGCTAGATGGCCAAAATGTCCTGCGACTCGAAGAAATATTTCTTGGCGGTGCGGATCGCATTGCTCTTGGCATCGCTCGCGCTGATCGGCTTGCCGCCAGCACTCGTGCTCGCCGCCACGGATCCCGCTCACGGTAAGGCCCGTCGGCGGATTCGGCTCGTTCTCGGCCTGCGATCATGCTTTTCCCACCATCGCAGTTTCGCCATCCCCCATACTGGCAGCGAGCGCCTGTCGCCTTCGTCCACGTCACGCGCGCTGTTTATCGAGCGAAATGCGAGCCAAGAAATCAGACTTATGATCTGCCGCCCTGGATTATGCTACCGTAATTTCCACCCACGCCTGCGACGCCTTTTCCAGCGCGCACTCGCGATGAGCCACAGGCACACAAGAACAAACCATGCCCTTGCCCCGCCCCTTTTCCCCAATTGCTTCGAGCTGATCCCATCACCAGCACCCCACCCTCCCTCAATCCCCCGCTTCCCTCCGTCCGGTGTCGCAAGCATTTCCCAGTCGCGTCAGCTTTTCCGAACGCAGCGACGATCCACGCCACTAGCGGCGCACGGTACCACCTGGTGTGGTACTAGCACAGACAATGGCCGTGCTGGCCCCCTCATACGCCTAGACGCTCCATCCCCTCCCCTCCTCTCCCCCGCGCTCCTCTCCCGCCCCCCGCGCTTCCCCCCGAGCCCCGCAGTGGCGGCGCTGCGGCAGGTGGCGGCGGCAGTGGGGCGGCCCGACGAGCCGCCGTTCAACGCGTGGGCGGGCGACGACCCGTGCGGGCCGGACGCGCAAAGCTCGTGGCCGGGCGTGCGGTGCGGCGCGGGCGGGATGTACAACGTGGTGGCGGAGCTGTGAGTCCCGCGCGGGAAGGGGGGGAAAGGGAGGAGGGGGGGGGTGTGGTGGTAAGGGGAGGGAAAGAGGAAGTGGCCTATTTGGGGGCTGCGTTGTGAGTGAGGTGGGGGGCCTTGCTCCACGCGATGCTCCACGCGATGCTCCACGCGAGGCTCCACCTTTTAGAATCAGAGTTGGTGTAATTCTTGTGAAGCGGCGGGAAGGCCGCCGGGAAAGTACGGCATGGGAGTACTTACAGCGTGCACTCGAGCGGCAGGGCGCAAGCGAAGAGCGGAAATCCGGGGGTGAAGAGGAGGCAAGAGGCATAGGACACGAGATTTTGGGAGGGGGGGGGGGGAGGGGGCTGTGAGAGTGTGCGGCAGTATAACCAGTTCACGAGCGCAAAAGCAAGTGTTTCACAGCCCCGAAACGGCGCACGGCCAGTCAGTCTTGCCAAGACACTCTCGACAGTTCCCCATTCGCCTTCCACACTCTCAGTGCTCATCTCCCCCTTTCGCTCCGTCTCCACACCGCCGTGTGCGCAGGGACCTGCAGGACACGCGGCTGGCGGGCGACCTGCCCAGCGCCGTCTTCGATCTCACCCACCTGCGCCTGCTGTCAGTCCCGCCGCCCTCACCCTCCTCGCCCCCCCGCTCCCATCAACCTCTTCCTCCACGTGTCCCCACTGTTCTCGCACCCGCCCACAACACGTGCACGTTGCCAAAAATCTCAATCCAGTCCCAAACGGACCCACCAGTCCCAGCGAATCCCAGCGAGTCCTCAAACTCCAGCCCTCCCATCCGGCGCCTCCCACGCACGCACAGCCATGTGCCACTGCATCGTTACACACCCTAGCGCGAAACGCTCACCCTGTCATGCACCGTCACCATCGCTCCCTTCGGCCGTCCCTGGCCGTCCTGGCCGCCCTGGCCTCCTCTGGCCTATCCTGACCTCCCCTGGCCCCCACCTTGTTCCCCCCGCCCCGCGCTGACAGCAACTTGGCGCTGAACCCGAAGCTCACAGGCAGCCTGCCTGACGCCCTTGGCAACCTCGCCCACCTCACGCTGCTGTGAGTGCCCACCTCACGCTGCTGTGAGTGCTCTTAGGCACGCGCCAACACCTGTGCACGCTGCTGTGAGTGCTCTTAGGCACGCGCCAACACCTGTGCACGCTGCTGTGAGTGCTCTTAGACACGCGCCAACACCTGTGCACGCTGCTATGAGTGCTCTTAGCCACGCGCCAACACCTGTGCACGCTGCTGTTAGTGCTCTTAGGCACGCGCCAACACCTGTGCACGCTGCTGTGAGTGCTCTTAGGCACGCGCCAACACCTGTGCACGCTGCTGTGAGTGCTCTTAGACACGCGCCAACACCTGTGCACGCTGCTGTGAGTGCTCTTAGGCACGCGCCAACACCTGTGCACGCTGCTGTGAGTGCTCTTAGGCACGCGCCAACACCTGTGCACGCTGCTGTGAGTGCTCTTAGACACGCGCCTGTGCTGTGCTGTGCCTCCCCCTCCCCGTGCCCACCCTCCTAATGTTCCCCCCCCCCCCGCATCCCCTGCCCTCCTCCCCCACCCCCTCTGCCTCCCCCTTCCCCCCAGCGACGTGCACGGGTGCAACCTGACAGGGTCCATCCCAGCCACAGTGGGGCGGCTGGCGAGCCTCAAGTTCTTCCTGGTGAACCAGAACCGCCTGTCAGGGTCCATCCCGGCCACCGTGAGCGGCATGCAGCGGCTGTACATGTGGGACATCATGGACAACCGCGTTGAGGGCGCCGTGCCCTCCTTCCACGGCGCCAACGAGCTCGGTCACCTGTGCGTGGGGCACGGATGTGATTGGGGTGTGGGTGGGGTTAAGGTTGGGGTTGGGGGTGGGGTTGTGGGTGGGGGTGGGGTATGCATGTAGCAGTGAGCTCATTGCAGCAGCTGTACATGTGGGACATCATGGATAGCTGCATTGACGGCACCGTGCCCTCCTTTCAAGGGGCCAGTCAGCTAGGGCACCTATGAATGTGGTGTGCGTGTGAGTGTGGTGCGTGTGAGTGGGGTGCGTGTGAGTGGGGTGCGTGTGAGTGGGGTGCGTGTTTGAGTGTGGTGCGCGTCTGAGTGGGGTGCGCGTGTGAGTGTGGTGCGCGTGTGAGTGGGGTGCGCGTGTGAGTGGGGTGCGCGTGTGAGTGGGGTGTGTGTGTAATTGGGGTACGTGTGTGAGTGGGGTGTGTGTGTAAGTGTGGTGCGTGTGCGAGTGTGGTGCGCGTGTGTGTGTGGTGTGCGTTCCTCCTTTCCTTTCCTTTCACCTCTTTGTTTTTCCCCACTCTCCTTTCTCTCCCCCCTCTCCCCCCCCCCCAGCCACATGAGTCGCAACCTGCTCACCTCAGTGCCGGCGCACATCAGCAGACTACCCAAGCTAGAGCACGTGTGAGTGGCGGCAGGCAGCAGAGTGCATGCCACTCATAGCCCACCAGCAGTCCCATCCACCCGCACAGATCGTTTCTGCCATGTCCGATCCCTCCCAGCGTTCCGATCCCTCCCAGCGTTCCGATCCCTCCCAGCGTTCCGATCCCTCCCAGCGTTCCGATCCCTCCCAGCGTTCCGATCCCTCCCAGCGTTCCGATCCCTCCCAGCGTTCCGATCCCTCCCAGCGTTCCGATCCCTCCCAGCGTTCCGATCCCTCCCAGCGTTCCGATCCCTCCCAGCGTTCCGATCCCTCCCAGCGTTCCGATCCCTCCCAGCGTTCCGATCCCTCCCAGCGTTCCGATCCCTCCCAGCGTTCCGATCCCTCCCAGCGTTCCGATCCCTCCCAGCGTTCCGATCCCTCCATGTCCCCCCCTCCATGTCCCCCCCTCCATGTCCCCCCCTCCATGTCCCCCCCTCCATGTCCCCCCCTCCATGTCCCCCCCTCCATGTCCCCCCCTCCATGTCCCCCCCTCCATGTCCCCCCCTCCATGTCCCCCCCTCCATGTCCCCCCCTCCATGTCCCCCCCTCCATGTCCCCCCCTCCATGTCCCCCCCTCCATGTCCCCCCCTCCATGTCCCCCCCTGTGTCTCACCCTTTCCCTCCCGCCATCCTCTCGTGCATCACGAAGCAGGCTGGTGGACAGCAACCGGCTCACCCATCCCATCCCAGCGGCATTCAACAACACAAACCTCACTGTCATGTGCGTGCCACTGTCATGTGTGTCCCACTGTCATGTGCGTGCCACTGTCATGTGCGTGCCACTGTCATGTGCGTGCCACTGTAACCCACGTCCACTCACCTCTGCATCGCACTTACTGCCCCTTCCCCTCAGTACCCAATCCAGCTATGCACGGCTTGCTGCAGTTGAAACCAAGCCGTGCCCCCCTCTGAATCCAACACATCCACGACCTTCCGTATGCCCCTGCGCCTACCCCAACCCACCCACCTCCCCCCGCTTCCATCCCCGCAGCTACTGGAGTAACAACGTGCTGCCCAGCCTGCCCACCACGTGGCTCCTCCCCCACCTCAAGGACTTGTGAGTGCGGCACCTCGCTCCAGGGCTGACCTCAAGCATAGAGCAGTGAGATCAAGCGTAGAGCAGTGAGCTCAAGCGTAGAGCAGTGAGATCAAGCGTAGAGCAGTGAGCTCAAGCGTAGAGCAGTGAGCTCAAGCGTAGAGCAGTGAGATCAAGCGTAGAGCAGTGAGCTCAAGCGTAGAGCAGTGAGCTCAAGCGTAGAGCAGTGAGATCAAGCGTGGAAAAGTTTACGGTTCTTATCCATCTGTGTGTGTGTGTGCGCGCGCGCGCGCGTGTGTGTGTGTGTGTGTGTGTGTGCGCGCGCGTGTGTGTGTGCGCATGTGCATGTGTGTGTGTGTGTGTGTGTGCGCGCATGTGCATGTGTGTGTGTGTGTGTGCGTGCGCACGCGCGTGTGTGTGTGTGCGCGCGCGCGTGTGTGTGTGTGTGAGCGTGTGTGTGTGTGTGTGCGCATGTGCATGTGTGTGTGTGTGTGTGTGTGTGCGCGTGTGTGCATGTGCGCGTGTGCGCGTGTGTGTATGTGTGCGTGTGTGCGTGTTTGTGTGTGCGTGTGAGTGTGTATGAGTGTGTGTGTGTGCGTGTGTGTGTGCGTGTGAGTGTGAGTGTGTGTGTGAGAGTGTGTGTGTGTGAGTTTGTGTGTGTGTGTGTGTCCCCCTACATGCCCCTCTCTCCCCGTGCACCAGCCTCGCCAGCAACTGTTCACTACCACAGCAACCGCTGCCATCCTTCCCGCTCTCTGCCAGCCTTGCCAACCTGTGAGCCCAACCCATCCACCTCCTCCCATCCAATTCCTCTTCTCCCAGCTTCTTGTCCGACACACCACACATTCTATCTTGCCTAACTTCCACCCCTACACTCCCACCTCCATCAACACTCCCACCTCCATCAACACCCCCACCTTCACCCACACCCCCACGTTCACCCACACCCCCACCTTCACCCACACCCCCACCTTCACCCACACTCCCCCTTCCATCAACACTCCCACCTTTCTCTTACCCTCCTCCCCACCTTAAACCCTCCTCCCCTCTGTGCTGGCCCCCAGCGATCTGAGCAGCAACAAGTTCACAGGCGCCATTCCCCCCACGCTCTTCTGGCACAGCCCCAACCTCATCAACCTGTGAGCGTCTCACCGTTCTGCACCGTTCTGTGTCGCATCAACGCTCACCGTTCTGTGTCGCATCAACCTGTGAGCGTCCCATCAACCTGTGAGCGTCCCATCAACCTGTGAGCGTCCCATGAGTGGGTGAGCATCGCATACACCTGGGCTCTTTCGCCCTCCTCAAGTCTGAATGTCAGTCGTGCTGCTTTTCTTCGCTCTGCCCCCTCCCGCACTCCTTCATGCAGCAACCTGGCCAACAACTCGCTCACCGGCCACCTGCCTCAGCAGATCGCCAATGCCTCCAAGCTGCAATCGCTGTGAGCCGCCACTCCCTGTGAGCCGCCACTCCCTGTGAGCCGCCACTCCCTGTGAGCCGCCACTCCCTGTGAGCCGTCCCACTGTTCACAACCGTTCACGCCAGGGCGTCTCCCCAGATCCTCACAATCCCTTTCTCGTCTCATCTCCTTGCAAGTGCCCACCTGTAACCCTCCTCGCACCCCCACCTGTATGTACCGCCACGTATGCCTGCAGGTTCCTGGCAGACAACAACCTAGCCTCACCTCTGCCAACCTCTTCCAACCTTTCCCTACCTCTGTCTGTCCTCCTCTCCCCGCATGGCAGGTTCCTAGCAGGCAACAACCTGACAGGCGCCATTCCGGACATGTCAGGGCTGCCAAGCCTCGTGGCGCTCTCCCTCTACGACAACGACTTCACTGCCGTGCCGCCCGCCCTGCTCAACCAAACCAACGCCACTCTGCAGTGAGTGCGGTGCAGTGAGTGCGGTGCAGTGAGTGCGGTGCAGTGAGTGTGGTGCGGTGCAGCAGAGAAAGAGAGCACCGACGAGCGCAACATAATAACCTTGATGCATTGGCGGCCTTGTCGCCATGACCGTTCCAATGACGTCACCACCACCGCCGTCACCATCCACTCACACCTTCCTTGTGTGCAACCTGCATCGCCTCTTCCTATTCTCCTGTCCTGTCTTCATCCACGCCCTTCTCTCCCCACCCCCATCCTCCTTTCCCCCCCAGGCTGTATGGCAACGACCTCTGCAAGCCATTCCGCGCGGAGATCGCGCAGCAGTGCTCCCCGCCGCGCCTTCTCACGCAGTACACGGCGCGCGCCATCTGCGCAGAGCTCGCGTGCGCCAGCGACCTCTTCCGCCCCAGCGAGCCGCTGTTCCGCGACGCCAGCGAGTGCGTGTGCGTGTCGCCGCTGCGCGCCGAGCTGGGGCTGTACCTGACGGACCTCGTGGTCTTCACAGACGACCAGGTGACGAGCCTGGAGGACAAGCTCTTCTCGCAGCTCACCACCCGCGCGCACATCAACATCACGCGCAATCAGGTGCGTCGCCAGTGCGCGCCAAGCTAGGGCTGTACCTCGCGGACTGCGTCATCTGTTTTTTGAGAATTCTCAAAAAGCAGCCTGCTTAAATTCCCCCGGTTTCATACTATGTTCAAACATATATAGATACTAACCATTTACTTCGCAAGTAAATGGTTAGTATCTATATATGTTTGAACATAGTACGTGTACGGCGACCTCGAAATTTTGATCTGAGATCGCGGACCTCGTGGTGTTCACAGACGACCTCGTGGAGAGCCGCGAGGAGAGCCGCGAGGAGAAGCGCTTCACGCAGCTGATGGGCAGGGCGCGCATCAACATCTCTCGCACGCGTGCTGCGCGCCCTTGCCCTTGCGCCTCCCGAAACACTTGCCGTGTAGCCCCTCCGATTGAACCCGAGCTTAATCCCCGTGTTCTTTCCACTCTCCGCCCACCGGGAGCGCGCCCTTACAGAGGAAAGAATGCTCTCCCTCCACACCCTTGTCTGCGATCGGCAATCCCCTCTGCTTGCACAGGCTGACGTCACAACACACGAAACTGAACCCGGGCCTTCCCGGCAAGTAGCCGGTTCAGAATGGACTGGGTCGAAGGACATGTAGCCCGTTGCACCATGGAACCTTCCCGGCCGAACCCGAGGCCAATCCTAGTGTCATTTCCATTATCTGGTGGAGAAAGATTGGTGCATGAGTCTGAGTCTCTGTTGGAGGATTCTGGTGGCCGACTCTTTGAACAACATCCAGTAGTCCTAATCGTTGAAGAACCCTCCTTACCTTCTCCATCCGCCCATGCACCACACAGGTGCAAGTGACGGGCATCAGCAGCCGTGCGTCACTCGCCTCACTGGCGTCAACATTCGCGTCCGACCACACGATGCACGAGTCCACGCTCATCATCACCGCGCTCTTCTTCCCGCCCGCCGGGGACGACTCCTGGCTGCCCAGCGACACGCCCCGCGCCATCCGCGCCGCGCTCTCCACGCGCGACCCGACGCTGCGCGCCAACCTGGACGAGTTCGGGTCGTACCGCGTCGAAGCCTTCTACGGCCCTGCTCGTAAGTGCTTGGTGAGGGGGGGTTGAGGGGAGGGGAGAGTGGGGGAAGGCGGGGAAGGCCGTCTTCGGATACGCACGTGCATCATGAGGGGAGGGGAGGAAGGGGGGAGTGGGAGGGGCTGGATAAGGGTGAAGTGGTGCAGGGAAAGAGGTGGGTTGGCAGGTGTGTGCAGGTGTTCCATGCGGTGGAGGACCTTCAAGGGCACACAGACACATCCTTGCTTCGTCCCTGTTTCCTCTCTTCTTCCTTCATCATCGTTACTCTGCTTCCCCTTTCCCCCCTTCCATCCACCCCACACACACCACCTGGCAGCGTACAAGCCGCCGTCGCAGGCAGCATCAGCACTAAGCCCAGGCACCATCGCGGCCATTGCCATCTGCTGCGCCACGCTTGTCATCTCGCTCGCCCTCGTGCTGCTCTTCCGCCCCTGGGAGAAGCGAGGTGAGCCGGCGAGGTGGGAGCACGGAGTAAAGGAAGGTTGGGAAGTGCTATTGGGACGCAAGAGACAGCAGCAAGGGTGGGAACGGGTGAGAGAAGGGAAAGGAAGAGTTGATTTGCAGGGGAGTAAAGTCTGCTTGTCAGAAGGGGAGTGTCGAATGTGGTGGGGAGCTGCACGTGAGCAAGGCACGGTAGCCAGTGAGCAAGGCACGGTAGCCAGTGAGCAAGGCACGGTAGCCAGTGAGCAAGGCACGGTAGCCAGTGCGCAAGGCACGGTAGCCAGTGCGCAAGGCACGTGGTTGGAGGTGATCACCTCATGACCTCGTCCATGCTCCCCCATTATCTGTGTAAATGAGGGTAACCCTCGAATGGTCCTTCATTAAATAAGCGTGATAAATACAGCACACTCATAGTACGGCCAAACAGACAAGGAAAGGTAACCCTTGTGTGCCACTCAATGGCTGCCATCCACACTGTCTGTCAGGGAAGAAGGCAGAGAGCAGTAGAGCTAGTACTATTACTCGTGGCTGTACAACTTTAGCCTGCACCACACTCGTTTCTATCTCCCACCTCCATCCCTCTCTTACATCCGCCACCCCTCTCTTACATCCCCAACTCATCGCCCTCCCAGGGTGGAGCCATGCGGACTACGAGGCGCTGGAGGGCATCAGCCTGCAGCACGCGCGGCGCTACTCGCTGCAGCAGCTGCACGACGCCACTGATGGCTTTGATGACCAGCGCGTGCTAGGGCAGGGCGGATTCGGCAAGGTATGTCTGGGGGAGGGCGGATTCGGCAAGGTATGTCTGGGGGAGGGCGGATTCGGCAAGGTAATAGAGTTTGTTCAGGGAAGGTGGGTGTGACATGGTACAGGTGAAAGGAATGCATGTGGGAGGAGATTGAAGGAATGCATGTGGGAGGAGATTAAAGGCGTCTTTTCAACCACTGCTGCGACGGTCACAAGGATGGCACCGAGCATTTCCCCTGCTCATTATCCCTCCCCCTTTCTCCCCGCTACTGATTGATCTCCCCCCCCTCGGCTTCCGCATCACCTTCCCGCGCCTTCATCGTTCTCACCCCCGTGCATGCCAGGTGAACCTTGGCGTTCTCAAGAGCCGGACAGCAATAAGCAACGCAGCACAGCAGGCCCAAGCCTTATCCCGTTCCCGCCTCTAACTCAAACAACCGATCATCCCCTCATGCGCCAGGTGTACCGCGGGGAGCTGAACGGTGAAGCAGTGGCGATAAAGAAGGCGAGGGAGAAGCAGCGGCATGACGGGGCGGACTTCAAGAACGAGATCGAGCTGCTCACCGCCGTGTCGCACGGCAACCTCGTGCGCCTCACAGGCTTCTGCGTCGAGAAGGACGAGCAGCTTCTCGTGTTCGAGTTCATGGAGGGCGGTGCTCTGGACGCGTGGATCAAAGGTGCGATTGCCGTCACATGTGGTGCGCTTAGCTGGGGATGCTTGTGTTGGGGGTCATGGGGGCGCCCACTGGACGTGTTGAACGGTGTGCTAGCTAGTGAATCGAATGCAAAATCTGAAGCTAATATGCACAGGACATGCTGTTTTGCACGTACTCTTCAGCATCTAAGCTATTGTTCTGTACACGCAACCAAATTGGGTCCCTACCCCACCCCCCCCACCACTCCCCCCACCACCCCCAGCCCCCCCTTGCATGCGCCATCACATGATGGTACCTTCTTCATGGTCTGATTTCTGGCAACGTTCATTTCTTTCTGTCTCATCCCAATCCACGCCACCTGCTTGCTCTGCTGACGTGGCGGCAGGCAAGATGGGTCGCATGCTGACATGGCGGGAGCGGATGCGTATTGCGCTGAACGCAGCGAGTGCGCTGCACTACCTGCACCGCGAGATGAGGCCTGCCATCGTGCACCATGACATCAAGGTGAGAGGGAGCGCGCCTTGGTCTTCATACCATAGATGAAGTATGCCTATATTTGCTCCTGCACCACGACATCAAGGTGGGTCGTGCCATGCTTTAATCTTCATACCATGAATGAACTATGGTGACTTTTCTAATCTCATTCGTCCCACCCATCCGTAACAGGAGGCTCACTCAATGTTGATCCTCCCTCGCCCCTTTTTCCGCGCCCTCCCGCCCCCTCCTGCTGTGGCACGGCAGCCGCCGAACATCCTGCTGACAGCAGCGCTGGAGGCGAAGGTGGCGGACTTTGGGACGTCCAAGTCCATGCCGGAGCGCGGCGAGTTCATGCCCGATGAGATCGTGGGCAGCAAGGTGGGATGCCATGCGGTGCAGTGTGGTGAGGCCATGGGCAGCCGGGTGAGATGCCATGCGGTGCAGTGCAGCGAGGTCATGGGTAGCTGGGTGAGATGCTGTGCGGTCTTACATTCAGCTGAACTGACGGATTGCAGCAACCTGTGAGTAGCATTCGGCTCACAAGTCCTCGCTCCCATCCCTCCATCCTTCCACTCCCCTATTTCTCCCTCTACCCTGCCCCCCTCCCCCCAGGGCTACATAGACCCCTACTTCGTGCATTCAGGCGTGCTGACGGAGAGCAGTGACGTGTACAGCTTCGGGGTGGTGCTGCTGCAGCTCGCCACGGGGCAGCCGCCGCTCATCCAGCACGTGCCGCTCAGCCAGGTCGTGCTGCACCTCGCCTTCGGCCCGCAAGGCCTCGCCTCCGTCGTCGACCCGCGCCTCCACCACGCCCTGCTCGCCGCTGCCGCCCCCTCCGATGATGGCGCCGCCGCTGCTGCGGGTGTGGTTGGTGGCGGTGCGGGGGAGTGGGAGGAAGGGGGAGTGAGCGCATGGGAGATGGTGGCGGGGCTGGAGGAGACGTTCAGCACGTTCCTGCGGATCGCGCTGTGGTGCACCGCGGAGCACCCCACGCTGCGCCCCGACATGGAGCAGGTCGTGTCGGAGCTGCGGAAGATTCGAGACCAGCTGGGAGCGGGGATGGCTGGTGGGGGCAGCAGCAGAAGAAGCCCGCGTGGGACCGCCAGTGGGTTCACGACGCCCTCGTCCTTCCACGGGTCGCTGCCTCCCCTTGATGCCACTGCGTTCAGCAGCCCCAGCGTGACGGAGGAGCAGAGCATGAGCGGCACACAGGACTACACGTGGAGCGGTTATAGCGCCACACAGGGGCCCCCTTCTCATCCCAGCTACCCCCCTGCTACCGTTGCTGCTGGAGGTGGTGAAGCGTCACCAGGGGCCCACAGGCAGCAAGCAGCGCAGCAGCAGCAGCAGCAGGGCGCGGCTCGAGGGGCAGGTGGGTTGGCTCCCCTGTGGGGCCCTGGGCTTGTCGGTGGGGTGCATCCCCCTCCATCCAGTGCCGCCCAGGAGGATGGAGCCATGGGACGGGGGTACGCTGGTGGCTCGTCTGCTACAGCCAGTGGAGTCACAGACGAGGAACAAGGGCACACTGACACGATGACAGGGCCGCGTGCTCGGTAGCTTGCAAGAAATTGTATTGGAATACGAATGGAGGGAGCCGGAGGATAGGGTAATAAACCGAGCGTACTTGGGGTTGAAGTGGTGCCGCCTTGTCCTCCACTGCCTCGCCCACCTGTACCTGGCACAGTCAAGCACTTCTCCCACCCTAATGCTCAATGTCCATTCGAGCCATCTGCTATCCGGGCCTCATCATCACCATCTCTTCATCACTGGGTACGGTATTACTGCAAAGCCCCACATAGGTTCCCCCCCAGATTGAACACCAACTGGGTATGGATGCACAATGATTTGTATCTCATGTCCCCCCAGCTAAATAACTCCACTGATTTCTTGTATTGCTTACAACACCCCCTCCTTGCCAATTTGAGATGGAGATGCGAAAGTACAAGTACAGAAGTTTAGATCGAGGCCAAACACTAACGCACACTACCGAGCACACGGGCCAGTCATTGTCTCAGTTTCTTCCTCCATAAATCCACCAGCTGCAGCAGGCGAGCTACCACCGTACCCGTTTCCCACCTCTGCACCCTCCTGGGCGGCACTGGATGGAAGGGGGTTCCAGCGACAAGCCCAGGGCCACATTGGGGAGCCAACCCATTCGCCCCTCGTGCCACACCCTGCTGCTGCTGCACCGCCTGAAGCCCACCAGCAGCAGCAGCAGCTTGTTGGATGTTGCGCAGTGCAGACTCCACGTCCACCATGGTGGGGCGGTCATTGGGGCGCCCCTCTGTGCACCACAGCACCAGGCGCAGGAACGTGTCGAACGCCTCCTCCCGCCCCGCCACCATCTCCCGCGCGCTCACCTTCCCCACTCCCCTCCCCCGCACCACGCAGGCACGGGTCGACAACGGAGGAGAGGCCATCGGTGGTGCAGGTGAGGCGCCAAACGTACTGCCTGAGCAGCACTTTCCCATGGTCACTCGGGACGAGTGGAGGCTGCCCCGTGGCGAGCTGCAGCAGCACCACGCCGAAGCTGTACACGTCGCTATACTCTGTCAGCTTGTTTGAGTGCATGAAGTCCGGGTCGAGGTAGCCCTGGGGAGGAGGGGAGGGGGGGAGGGGGAGAGGGGGGATGGGAGGAACATTACGCTGCGGATGGAAGGTTTGAAGCATTTAGGAGCGTAAGAGTACAGAAATGGATGTCGCAGCAAAGGCATGATGCAGCACGTTGCCTCCTCTCCTCTCACCCGCCTGCCACTCCTCTCATCTCACCCGTCTCTCCTCTCCTCTCCTCTCCTCTCCTCTCCTATCCTCTCCTCTCCTCTCCTCTCCTCTCCTCTCCTCTCCTCTCCTATCCTCTACTCTCCTCTCCTCTCCTCTCCTCTCCTCTCCCCTTCACTCCTCTCCTCTCACCTTGGTCATGATGACCGTATCGCCCGAAGCCCAAAATCCAGTTTGCCGCGCTCCGGCAGCGTCTTGGACGTCCCAAAGTCCGCCACCTTCGCCTCCATGGGCTGCCCTGCCGTCAGCAGGATGTTGTCCGGCTGCCACCCGCCAGGAAAGAAAAGAGAGGGGGGGTTGGGGGGAGGGTGGGGGGGGGAGGGTGAGGGGATGAGAAGGGACCTCGAGTAAGGCACCTTGGTCTTCATTCCGAGACACACTTCATCCTGGATTGAGAGGATGGAGGAGCTCAGATTGAGAGGATGGAGGAGCTCAGATTGAGAGGATTGAGGAGCTCAGATTGAGAGGATTGCACGCTTTAATTCATTCATGCTTCTTACTTCAAAAAATGACGGATGAAGAGAGTGGGAGGTGCGGTCTCACCTTGATGTCCCCGTGCACAACACTTTCTCCATTCAGAAGTTCGCTGTGCAGGTAGCGCAGTGCACTCGCAACGTTCTCCACGTCAGACTGCGCCTCCTGTTGCCTGTCACCATGTCGGCAGAGTGGGAGTGGATTGAGAGAGGAGTGGAATGGTTGTTGGGAAAAATCACAGGATCAACGCGGAAGGAGATGTGTGGCAAGGGAGGAAATGGGTTGGGAAGGAGGAAGGAGATGGGGGTGGAAAGGAGGAAGGAGATGGGGTGGGAAGGAGGAAGGAGATGGGGGGGGGAAGGAGGAAGGAGATGGGGGTGGGAAGGAGTTGCTGAGTAGTTCATGGGCTGTGGTGCTCACTCGTCTCAACGCACATAGCAGCGCAGCACGCAGCGACAGCAGGCGCCATAGTTGATGCAAAACCCACCCGTGATCCATTCGTTCAGAGAAAAACCCACCCGTGATCCATTCGTTCATAGCAAAACCCACCCGCGATCCATTCATTCAGAGCACCGCCCTCCATGAATTCAAACACCAGCAGCTGCTCATCATTCTCGACGCAGAACCCTCTGAGCTGCACGAGGTTGCGGTGTGACGCTTTGGTGAGAAGCTCGATCTCGTTCGTGAAGGCCTTTCCGTCATGCTGATGCTTCTTGGTCGCCTTCTTTATCGCCACCGCCTCACCGTTCAGCACCCCTCTGTACACCTGGTGGCCGCAAGGGGATGGGGAAGGGAGGAGGGAGGAGGGGGACAAGGGGGAATGGGTGGGAAGAATGGAAGGGAGAGGGAGGGACGGGGGAAGGGGTTGGCGCGATTGTGCTGCGCTGCTTGTTACCAGTGCCTTCCCTTTAGCACCCCGTTATACACTGGCAAACACAGAAGGGAAGGGTAAGGGCGGAGATGATTAGGGAGGTAGAAAGGAGGCTCCAGAAGGGGTGGGGGAACCATAACCCACTAAACCTTGGGTCGCAAATCCAGGAACCCCACTAACACATCAATCGATTGTGTGACACAATGGGCTGGGTGTTGATGGGATGGGTGTTGATGGGCTGGGAGTCAGTGGCCAAATCCGCCCTCCCCAAGACATACCTTGCCGAATCCACCCTGCCCCAGCAGCAGCTGGTCGTCGAAGCCGTCGGTGGCGTTGTGCAGCTGCTGCAGCGAGTAGCACTGCGCGTACGGCAGGGTGATGCCCTCCACCACGTAGCGCAGCTCTTGCTGCACGATGATGGCCTCCAGTGCCTTCAAGTCCGCTTGGCTCAACCCTGGGGGGCCGATGAGTGGGAAGTCATAAAAGAGTGTTCGGCACGTTGCTGCCCTATAGCGCTCATGATCCACGCTGAACCACCCTGCATGGCTGAGTGGAGAAGGAGACGGAGTGCATAGAGGTAGGGGTGAGCAAGGGGCGAACACAGCTGTTTGCCGGGTTCGCCCCTACACGAACACAGCCGTTTGCCAAACCGAATACTGTTCGGTTCGGCGAACACCTTGCGCAAAAACAGGTGTTTGTTGTTCGCCTGTGAAGGCGTGTACGGGCGAAACACGTTCGTGTTCATCGCGGGGCAATTTGCAGCAGAGGCCCGAACACGAACGTGTTAGGGCCAACCTCGAACACTGTTCAGAGAACACTTTAAGCAAAAAAAAAACAAACCTGTTCGGTTCGCTTCGTTTTTTTGCTCGTCCATATATAGAGGGATGGCGTACGGAAGAGGCAACGAGGGTTGTGTGGAAAGTAGAACGAGAATGATGGACTAATGAATGAAAGTGATACAAATATGCAACCCTAGAAAATGTGTACCCCATATGGGCTACCCCACTATAGCCTACACAATATTATAACTTGACACACCCCCATAGACAAAGTGGGGGAGAACAAGGGGTCACAAGACCAGTCAAGCAAAGCAAAGCAAAGCTCAGGGTGGATCACAACGTCACCACATAGTCCGAGCGCAAGGTAAAGGCCAGAAGGCCAGTTCACATGCATGAGTACAGAGAGATATATAAGGCTAAACAAGCAAGAGCATATATAATTATATATATATATATATCTAAGAGTACAAGCAAGGTCAAGAGGTGAGCAAGTGAGGTAAGACAGGTACAAGTCCCAGCTGAGTACACAAGCGCTGATGATCACAAGGCGGAAGTGCCTTGGTGAAAACATCAGTAGTGTTGGCCTTAGAGGCTACGTACGCAAGTCGCAACTGACCACGCTGCTGCAGCTCGCGAGCAAGAAAGTAACGGAGAGCAATGTGCTTCGTTCTGTGCTCCACGCGCTGCTCTCGACACAGGGCCAGCATGGCCTTGTTGTCTACGTACAGCACTGGAGGAGAACGAGGCGGCTCTCTAAGGTCGGTGAGCAGGTAGGTGAGCCAGCGAAGCTCCTGTGCAGCCATGGCCCCGCCGTAGATCTCAGCCTCACAACTGGAGCCGAGAACAGAAGACGAGCGAGTAGCCCGCCACGAAACAGAGCCGGAACCAAGACTGAAGGTGTAACCCTGCGACGACCGCTGAGTAGCCTGGTCGTCAGCCCAAAAAGCGTCCGCGTGCCCAGTGAGGACCACTCGACTCCGCCCTCCAAGCACTAGCCCCATGCCCGGCGTACTGCACAAGTAGCGCAACACCCTCTTCGTTGCAGCCATGTGCTCTGGTCTGTGTCTCCCAAGAGCAACATAGCGTGCAAGAATGCTAAGAGGGTACACAAGGTCAGGTCGTGTGCAGGTCATCAGGTACATGAGGCAGCCAACAAGCTCTGGGTACGGGCCACTCGACTCTACGGAATCATCCGAAGGCAGAGCTGAGAGCGAGTGGCGAGTAAACAGAGGAGTGGCCTGAGGCGACGAGTACGTGAAGCCGAAGCGCTGAAGAACCTGCTGCACCATGTGTGACTAAGTCAAGGTAATGGTGCGGCGTGCTCTGTCCCAGGTGATCTGCAAGCCAAGGTAGCTGCGCAGTTCACCCAGGTCTGTGCACGTGTGTCTCTTCTGCAGCTCGGACTTCACGTAGGCGAGTCCAGCAGTGTCAGCTGTGGCAAAGACCAAGTCGTCGACGTACACGAGGATGTAGAACGGCGGTAGAGAGGTGTCGGTGCGTAGAAACAACGACGGGTCAGCAGTAGAGGGAGCAAACCCAAGAGCCACAAACGTAGTCCTTCGTGTGTCTTGCCACTCACGCGGTGCCTGGCGGAGACCGTAGACTGGCCGTCGGAGGCTCCACTGGGTGCCAAGAGGGAAAGTCCCAGTGAAGCCAGGTGGACGGCGCAGCCAGATCTCCTCGTGCAGGCTACCCTGCAAGAAAGCAGTGCTGAAGTCAAGAGAGTGAAGCTCGTAGTCGCGCTGAGCGGCTATGTGCAGCAGCACGCGAAGAGTGGTCATCTTCGCGGTGGGAGAGAAGGTCTGAAAGTAGTCAACTCTCTGCCGCTGACTGAAGCTACGAGCCACGTACCGCGCCTTGAAGACAGGTGGAGAGCCCGGCGGCCGCTTCACCCTGAAGATCCACATGCCACTGACGATGTTCGCCCCAGGAGGGGGAACTGCGTCAACGTAGGTGCCTGTGGACTTCCAGGAAGCCATCTCTGCATCCATAGCTGCCTGCCACTGAGAGGAGTAGGGACCCTCTACGGCCTCCGCGTAAGAGCGCGGAGTCGGGATGTCTAGTGCATCCGGGTCTCCCTCAGGGGCAAGCAGTACGGACGCGAGATGAGGTGAAGCAGCAGCCAGACACTGGAACTCCTCCTGTCTGTCCTCAAGGACGTCCGTGCCAAGAGCACACTCACCCCTGACGGACGGAGGACAGACAGACGCAGACTCAGCAACAAGACTAGCAGCGTAGTCGAGACGACAGCGAGCAGCAAAGTCGACGAGCTTAGCAATTAGAGAAGACGCAGCAGTGGACTCAAAAGAGGGGTCAGTGACGACAACAGCAAGGAGACGCGTGACAGTAGGACTGGCAGCACGAAGAGAGTCCGACTCTGGGTCGGCAAGCGCAGGAAGAGAGGAGGCAGGAGGAGAAGGCAAAGGGACACGCTAAGGAGCAGTGGACGGACACAGAGACATCCGGTGCATGCCTGGGACAGGAGGAGGACGCTGACGCGAACCGCGACCACTAGCGCGAGGAGCACGAACAGGCGACGCGGGACGAGACGCTGGCTCACGACGCTCAGCAAGACCTCCAGTAGGACCAGTGTAAGGAGAGGGAGCAAGCAGTGGGGAGGCGGGCTCTAATTGTGACGGTGACTGGACGGGCGGTGGACACTCGACAGGAGGAGAAGGACCAAGAACCTGCTGCAGGAGCAAAACGAAGTACGACCGAGGCCGCGCGGCAACTCCTGACACAGCAGGGACAGCACCAGCACCCTCAGCGGCAATAGTAGCGCCAATAGCACCTCCAGCTGCAGGACTTCCAGCAGCACCAGCAGCACCCGCAGCAGGACCACCGCCAGGACGGGCAACAGTAGGCTCAGCAACAACACTCTCAGCAGCTCCAGCTCCAGTCGGACCCGCAGGCCCAGCATCTCCGGGACCGGCGGCACCAGCACCCCCAGCGGCCGAAGAAGCTCCAGCTCCAGTAGGACGCCTCCAGCGGCAAGCAAACCACTCGCGCAGCTCCTGTGGAGAGAGTGGCTCCCGCCGAGACGAAGCACCCAGAGAACCTCGAGGCCCAGCACCGCCAGACGCCACAAGGGGAGGTCCAGCGGCCGCAGGCTCCGCACCTCGAGGCTCAGCAGCTCTAGACAAAGCACCCCCTGGCTCAGCAGCTCCTGACGTAGCACCCCCAAGCTCAGCACCCCCAGACTCAGCACCCCCAGTTGCAGTACCCCCGGGCTCAGCACCCCTAGTCGCAGCACCCCGAGAGTCAGCACCCCCAGGCTCAGCACCCGCAGCAGTACCAGAGTCACCAGCAACCTCGACCGGCTCGACTGCGTCTACTTGGGACACACGTGAGGGGCACGACCCTGAGGGGGGAGGGGGTCTACCAGGGGGGGACCTGGCACAAGGAAGTGCGGTGGCGGGGGGAGGGAAGGAGTGGGGTAGGGGAAGAGGCGGTAAAAGGGGACTGACTCGTCGAACGTGACGTCCTGGGAGGACAGAACACGACGAGAGGAGGGGTGGTAGAACTGCCACCCTGGTGCGTCAGGGGGGAAGCCAAGGAAGACACAGGGAGCAGCACGAGGGGACAGCTTGTCCGCAGACAAGTCGCGGACAAACGCCCGAGATCCCCAGACACGGAACGCAGACGCATCGCCGACCTTCCCCGTCCACAGCAGAGCTAGGGAGGTCTCCGGCCGGGAGACCCTGGGGTGAAGGTTGATCTGATGCGCCGCGTACCGAACCGCAAATGGCCACAGAAAATGGGGGGCAGCCGCATGCATCATGGACATATGAGCGACGTCCATGACCATGCCAATGCGGCGCTCAGCAATCCCATTTTGCTGTGGAGAGTCCGGAAGCGTAAAGGTCTGGCGGATGCCTCGCGCACGACAGTAGGCTCGTAGAAGGCCAGAGGAGAACCCTCCGCCTCGGTCAGAATGCAGACACAGAACAGGAAAGTCCGAGCCGAAGCTCCTCCTGAGCTGGAGACGAGCTGCGCGGATCCAGTCGATCAACACCTCAGTGACATCACCCTTGCTGCGCAAGGGGAAGACTGTGGTGTAACGCGAGTAGTCGTCAACCACCAGCAAGAAGTAGCGCTCGTGACCCTGTCCACGGACGCGGGCCGGGCCCCACACGTCTATGTGAAGCGTCTGCAGCGGAGCCTCTGTCGGGGGAAACTGAGAGGAGTGAGGGGCACCCCGGAGCCGCCCCTCAACACAAGGGACACAGGAAGGACCAGGCCCCGAAGGAAGGGGAGGGAGGGACTGGGGAAGACCAGAGACAAGGACACGGGAGGCCATGCCCCGAAGACGAGGCACGGAGGGGTGGCCAAGACGGTGGTGCCACAGGAGAGTCTCGTGAGACAGGAGGCGACACGAGTAGGGGGCAGACTCAGGACCAGACCTGGACGCAGTAGCAAACACCTGACCCGACGCAGCTACCTGGCCAGACGCAGGGACAGGAGGAGACCCAGTGGTCAGGGTGTAGAGGCTCGACCCTGGCCGACGCGAAAACGTGGCCAGGTGTCGGCCTGTGCGGGCGTCCGAGCAGTGGGTCACCCGCTGACTCGCAGGAGTAAACTGGTGAACCCCTCGATCCTGTAGGTCAGCACCACTCACCAAGTTCGTCGAGAACGAGGGGAGGTAAAGACTAGACAAGGTGCCCAAGGGGGCAGCCGGACACGAGAGGACAGTGGAGAAGAGAGAGAGGACAGGACCCCCAGAGGGGTCAGCCAGGGAGACTGCAACCGGCTCACCAAGCGGCGTGAGTGTGGTGCGGTCTCGAAAGAAGGAGCGAGAAGCCCCTGAGTCAAGTGTGAAGGCGAGGGAGGCCGAAGCCGACGCGGTACCTGAGAGTGCAGCCTCACCAGTACCTGAGGGCGCAGACGCGCTGGCACCTAGAGCAGCAGCCTCACAAGCACCTAGCGCAGCAGTACCAATGCCCGGGTCGGGAGGGAAACACCGGTAACAGTCACCCTCATCACTAATAGTCACAGCATACATGGCAGCAAGGATAGCATCAAAATCAAGATCATAGATAGCTACACCTGCCCTAGACAGCTCTCCCCAGCGGGGGATCTCACTAGCCTCCGGGAACTGCTGACGCCAAGCGTCCGTCAGGCGGCCAAAGCAGCGATGGGTGGGGTGGGCAACCCCACACTGCTCACCCGCGCGGTCGCCGGAGCGAAGGACTTAGGTGCACGGACCAAAACCC